TTTATTACGATAGGTCAGATAATAGATCCTAATTTGCCTTATTATTCATGCAAACCCCGCTTGCATCATAAAGACTTTTCCCTTTATCCTGCCTCTGCTTTCAATCGATATTTCACGTTGAAATGATCGCAATTGTAACGTTGCGAGACACAGGTCGTTTACGGTGGGATTAAGTATACGATATGTTAAACTCTCGTCGATTCTTAGGCAAAATAAAAATGTCACATGAGCCTCACTCAACATGATCAACTCCATGAAATACAATAACATGTAGAGAGAAAATTGATAAAGCGGATGAACTAATCAGAGAATACGATTATAAAAGATAATACAATTGACAAGACAATACAATTATAAAAGGACATGGCTCTACTACGTAGTTTATAATAGCATGAAAATATGTATGAAGCAAATATTAATGAACATTTTGTTTCAAATTTTTATGTAAATTTTGTGTATTGTCATAACACGATACATTTAGCTAATTATGCTAACTAGCATATTAGCTAAGATAATAAAATTATTTTAATTTGTAATTAAAATTATGTATTTTTAAAATATAAATATCAGATCATATACAGAATTTTGGAATTCTGAACAATCGTATATTTTGAGATTATCATGAATGTTATCATAAAAATGATCATTGAGTATCACATTTAATTTGTGTACGCGAGAAATAATTTATGTCTGACTCAATTTAAAGTGTAAAAGTCGATACAACCAGAAAAACACCAATCAAATAAACACATGTATATTAAATAGAAATGTAAACCTTATAAGATGTCGCGCGTCTGCTCAATCGCGAATTAACTCTTTCGTTTTTATGCATTTCATATTCCAAGGATAATTTAACCAGCGTGCATCTGTGCTCGTCAAATTCACGTCAAAGTCACGAACGCACCTTAATGATGAGACCGAATAATGTATGCGCTCACGACAAGATTCTCTCGCGAAGATAACAAAGAAAATTTGTCGCCTGGCCGGCCAGTCCCGGTATTCTGGTCAGGGACACTCTGCATAACACGGGCAGCGATAACAAAACGAGTTCTTTCCTTTCCCTAAAGCACGATCATCGATCAGTACCTTGCGAAACACGTCCCCTTGCGAGTTCGGGATGATCATTTCCTCTGACGATCGAAAAACTTGGTTGGATTTAAATGCCACCATCCATAAAGTAAAGTTTTTAAGTCCCGAACGAATTAAACGAGCATCACACTTGTTACCTCCAATTTTCCATTTGCGATCGTGATATAATTCTAGACTACAGTTTTTACTTTTGTATTGTTACTTAAAAAGATGACTAAATTTTTTAATAAAGTTAGTCAAGTACATATGTGTATAATATGTTGCTATGAAATTATTTCTAATTCAACTTTCTGTTTAGATAACATAAAAATTGACTGCCTTCTATCTGCCTGGATTAAGTCTAGTTTTAATATACTGTATACTTTTTTAATTCTTCAATTAACACGCGTCCGATAAAATTAACAACATTCCACGTCCTGCATGATGTTATGCAAGTATCTAGCGAAAGCGCGAGATTGAACTTAAAAAAAAAAGGGACCCGGTCCGATCAGGTCATGCAAGATTTGTAATATCGGGACGAGTTTCACGGGCCATCGGATTGAAACATGTGCTAGGGGCAAGATACGAGCTCGTCAAGCGAGAAACGTTATGTCATCAGCGATCATTTTTAAAAGAATCATAAAACAGGGCGGCACATATCGCGGCAATTAGCCGCGCTTTCACCTTCGGCCGCGATCCAGTCGATCCTTACCCCGACGAAGCCTTATTTCGGCGATGCCCAGACATTGCGCCGAAAGTGGAGCGATACGATGTGTACGCGAATTTTGGAAGATCGCCAATCGTAGCAATCGTGCCGGATGTAGGCGAATGGTTCGATCGACGAGACAGGAGTCTGGCTGGCTGGGCCGGCCGGCTGGCTGGCTGCACTTTCAGGGAGCAACGTCCTGCCTACGCGAATATGGTCGCGAACGGACGCGACGGAAAAGAAGATACCGACGAACAAGAAGAAGCAGCGGAGATTCCGCTCTCTTGCCCGAACGTCTGTGCAAGGTCCGACGTCGGCGAGCGTGCTCACCGATTGGTCCCAGCGATCGCGAGGAGATTTTTGTCTCCCTTTGCGCTGCAGAATATACCGTCGCGTTGCACATTCCCTCCCTCCCTCCCCCACCCCGTTCGGCTCAGTTCTAGTAATTACCGTGTTACGTCAATTATCCTTAACCTGAGGTTTAATTGATTCTCCGACCTCCTTTTTACAGCTAGAAATGGATTGAGGCCCAGCTAACCCGCAATTTACATTAAAAACCGTTTTAAAAGTAAGATAGGTATCGAATTCTGGAGCTGCCATCATTGCCACATACATACTAACACTAGAAATCACTGACGCCAGCCCACATGAATTTTTGCACATAGCAACACATTTATACATTCTGCATGTACGTACATGGAAATGTATGTGCATTCTATTTGTGCCGAAAATTCATATGGGAAGGCATCGGTGATACCTGGTGTACGTACGCGCAATGGAATTCTGTCGTGTCCAGGTTTTTCACCGAAAAAGAAATGCGGTATTTATTTCGTGCAAGCTCGCGACAGGTGGCTTGCAACGTTTCACGAACCATCGGGAAGAATTCCTGACGTCGCGAACGCGCTAACGTGTTTTACGACGCGATAACAGAAATCGTCGATCGCAATGCAATATGACGAGGTAAAGCTCGCGACATTCACCACGGAGGACGGGCTCTATTACGTTCGCATGCTTCTCGATAAACGCGATGAGGCATCGCAACTGATGCATCTATCCGTTATTAGAGCACATTAATGTCATCGGGTATCACGTCGGGACGTGTCGCTCTAAGTCGATCACGAACACGGCGAATCTTGCTTGCAGTTCGCGGTGCTGCCGCGGGTACAACCTAGCATAAGTAATCGCATCGGGCTACGATCTGAAATTCATTTGTTAAACACACATTTGAAGGAACAAAGGACTAAGAGCCGTGACAGGGTGTTAGTGTCTAAATATTTCATATTTTAAATTTATTGCGAAAAATATTACCCCAGCCTGGGTTTGAACCTGGACCGTCCCTCTCGCTTAGGCGGGCGTCTCAACCAATTCGATTACCGAGACATATGGGAATATTTATCGCAATGAACAGCCTAATGTTGATTCCCGAATGCCGCCTATCGTGACAGTATTCGAAAACGAGAACTGCGCGCCGACTTAAATCGTCGGTCTTAAAACACCGTACAATCATCCCCAGCGATGTATCGCTCGATCATTTAGATCTCGCCGAGTGTTAAACCAGCAGCAATACTCTCTAAAAGCCAATCAGTGGATTATCACTGAAAACAATGAATACTCACTGATTCACAGTTATGAGTGCACCACTGCGATTTTCAGTGGTACTCTCTAAAAGTCAATCAGTGGATTATCACTGCAAACAGTGAATATTCGCTAATTCACAGTAATAGTCTACTGATTGACTTTTCGAGAGTATTGCTGCTGGTTTAACACTCGGCGAGATCTAAATGATCGAGCGATAGGTCATACAAAATACCAATGCAACGTGGCCACTGCTACGCTGTAAAGTTTCGTACCTCATTTTCAATTGAAAGTTTTATTAACAGTTCCACTTGCACCCGCAATAGTTTCACCCACGTGCTCGGCATTTAAAATCGGGTCCCGTGTCGAAACGTAGTCGCGAATTTGCAGATGAAATTCGAGCTTCGCTGAACGAACATCCGCGGAGTCGCGGGCGATTAATGCGACAAGTTCAAGTCTCGATCGACGTGATCGAACGTTCGGATTTTGCGTCGATCGCGTCGCAGGTGCGATGTTACGTGCGCGTTACGATCCGTTCAGAGAGGAGCCGCGCGGCAAGATTCGCCGCCGACGGGTTAGGAGGCTGCGGGAGGGAGGAAGCCTGTAACGCTCGCCGAACAATGCTCGCGCGGGACGAAACCCGGCTCGGCGGGATCGAGTCTCGGGAATTTCGCCGGGAATGCATTGCCGTGTTCACCGATTGCACGGAATGAAAATCGCGGGACGCCGGCGTGTCGAGCGTGGAAACGTCGGCGAAAGAGCAAATTGGGGGGGAGCGGATTAATCGAGATTTTAATTGCGGGAATATGCCGCCCGCGGGCGCAGCAACCGTATGTAAATAGGGAACCCCGAGTTGCCTCTTCGTTTAACGACGCGCGAATAAGTATCGTGGAAGATGTTGCCACGATGACGTTGATTCATACGCGACGTGAGGGTAGTCGAGGGGAGGGGGGGGGGATGGAAGAAGGAAAAGGAAAGCAAGGTTTTGACCTATTCTGATTGAAAATCCCGGCCTAAGTGGCTCGCGCCGACCTATGTAACGAGGATTTATCGCTGACCGTACTTGACTCCAGTTACGCATAAAGCGCATTGTGCTGGCATAGGGAGGTAAATAGAAATCTCACTTCTCAATTGAACGTGCCTCGATTATCCTGATTGCGTTTGTACGGCCAAAGGTCGAGTTATGTGCATTACAATGCTAACGGACAATAACGCGCCTATTCCCTTCATATCGCGCTAGTAATAAACGTAGAAGCATCGGCAATAAATAGCTCTATCAAAAAGCTATGTTCGATTTTACTCGCTGAATATACGAATTAGAATTCGGTGACAGAAAGCATCGTTAATATGTTTTATAATGTGCCATTCCGTTTCCCTTTTATGGCACTAGGATAGTTTCACATTGAAAGAAAATTTAATTGCTAGAAGAAATGTTTAACATTGAAGATGGAAAAGGTTGGATTTTCAACCCGAGAACCGTGTCGCGAGAGTTTCACACGGTAGGACCGGAATGTCTCGCTTTTAATACAGCAATAACATCGTTAAACGCTTTGCGTGCGTGCGCGATTCTCCGCCAAGTGCGAGATCGCGAAGCGGGAGGGACTGTAATCACCCAGCGGGCTTACAGGATGAACGATGGACACTCTCTTACCTGTCCGATATCCCGCGTTGCTCAAATAAGCGGCGAAGGAGTGCGGCTCGTGGTCTCGTTGCCACTGGGGACTGCTGCAGTTGTCGTTGTTCGTGAAGACCTCGTGATTGTGAACGTAACGACCGGTGAGCAAAGAGCTCCTGCTCGGACAGCACATGGGAGTGGTCACGTACGCGTGTCTCAGCTCGGCGCCCTCGTCCCTTATTCGCTTCAGAGTCCGCGGCATGAAGTTCAGCGAACCTGCGGTGGGTACGAGACGACCATTTTGGATACGATCAAACATCTATTCGGTTAATCTATACACACGTCCATTGTCCCGCAATCGCTTAATCGCTCGCCGGTTTGATGCAATACGCTGTTTGCTATGCTGAATGCGAACTATCGATGCTTATCACACACACAGGATATACGGTCTTCACTTATGAATCGTATAATTCATATCTGGACTCGTGAACTTTTCCGCAATAAAATATCAATTACTATCGCGGTTACAAGATCGAGAAAAAAAGACACGTCGTTGGAAAGACAAAAGCACGTATTCTTCGTTAAATTCGAGACGAACTGTGTTTGAGTAATCTCTTAATTAAACAGGTTGAAAATCGGCAGCGTGTCTAATTAAAATTTCTCTGAAAGGAAGGAATCGACTCGAAATTATTCGAAATATTTGCCGATGAAGATTTCGGGTGTTGCTCGAAAATGAATCCTGGTCTATTTCGATATTAGCGGACGAATTAGCGAAATAAATACACGTAATGTTTGATGCGGCGTTGCAGATAAGATTGCATATTGCACGCGTTTCTCTTCGGGTACATGTCGCGATAACTCGAAGCGGGCCTTCGCAAGGACTGAGACTAATATCGCGATGGCGAGATAAGGCGCCAGCAGGCTCCCGCACGCAATAAACAAAGTAAACTCTGTATTCCACGTAGGTATTTATACCGAGGCGATAAATGAGCCTCTTAGAAACCGAACTGATCGACTCCACGAAAAAAAATAAATAGAGAAAGTCGATGAGGTAACAAACTAATCGTCATGCTGCTGCTGCTGTTGCTGCTAAGATTAAGAAATTTACAGAAGGCGGAGTGTCGATCAGCTCGGCTTCCGAGAGACCCGAGTAATCCTGTACGCGGAATACGAACCCAGCTCAACGTCTTGATCATCCGTCAGAATCAGCACAATGTTGGGCTTCCGCTCCCTGGGCTGCTGGTGCGGCAAATAGGGCGAGTTCGGTTGATGATTGTAATTATTATTGCTGTTGTAATTCGACTTGTGGAGGGAGCCGCGACGCTGCTGGCCGGCGTACGCGTCATCCGCAGGTCTGTCTCCGTCGGTCCGTCTGGCATTGACACCCAACAGGAGGAGGGCCAGAAATTGAAATAGCTTGCTCATGGCGGCGGCAGCGGTTGGTGGTCGTTTATGGACTGGCTACCTCAATCAAGTGTCATACCATGGTTGTGACTGGAACAGGAAAACAGAGCACGCATCACGTTAATGGGCGCGTGAGTCCGACGGTAATTGGATCGCGGCGCGACGGAAAAAGGAAAAGAAGGAGGCCTTAAAGAATCTTTTCCCGCCTCGTATATCTAAAACGTATATCTCCGCCCGGAAAAAAAAGAAAGAAATTGAAAAAGACGACGAAGGTAATTGCGTGGAAGAAGGAAATCGACTGTCATAGGAAATCGGTCCAATCGCAATTGCTGTTACTTTATTTATTGTACTGATTGACGGCATTAATTCGTGCAAAAACGTAAAATCTGTTTCACGAGATTCAAGTTAGAAACGTTCTTATTATCGCAAATTAAAGAAATCACTGCTGTCACCTTAAATAAAAATAAATGCACTTATAAGACGTTTCGTGAACTTACACAATAACTTTGATATTTGAGAGAGATAAATTTTTGCAACAATTTATACCTAAATTAAAAATGTAGGCCAAGTGACAGTCTGTAGGTAAATTTCTAGACAAATATCATTACAAAACTCTGTAATGTAATGAATAACAAGATTTCATTATTTATGTTTCTATACATCTATGTATCTGGCTGATAAAATTAAGCATACAAATATAACTCAACAAAGTGTCCATCAGACCACGAAACTACGTACCTAATTAAGGGAAAAATGGAGAATCCAAAATGACCGCTTCAGTTACCTTGATGACAATTTACGTTCATCGAATCAGGCATTCCAATCGTCCGATTGCGTTTGTGCGTGAGGTACGACGCGATATGGTCACGAACGAAATTCTTGCACGACTCAAACACGCATTGCGTAATCCGTTAATATCCACGAACAGTTTGGATGCGCAATAATTATCTCCAATAAACGCGGCAAACGTATCCAACATCGCGATCGTTGCACGCATCGTGCCAAACAATTAACGGGTCGCATTACTGGCGATTCGACACGATTAGCCGCAGATGCCGCATATGCTATGCCCATCATCACTTTACCGAGAGCGAACGTGATCCGAGCTAACTACTAAACACGTCTTGTTACTCAGGAATGAAAGATGAGAGATGAAAGGTTAAAAAAAAAAGAAAATACGTGACCTTGCTGGACCGTGGAAGCAAGGAACGAGGCCATAATCGTATGGTCCATGTTTTATGGCAGGTTTCATCGCGCTGCATGTTGCGAAGATCTTACGGAGAACTGGGAGAAAAACAATAAATAATTGTGCAAACCTGAATTAACTCCCCATTATTGACTTATTGTAGCCGTGTATATTATTAAGATGAATCGTAAACCACGTCGCAAGTTTCCCATCTAATCACGTTTAAAAAGAGAAATTACCATCTTCCGATCTGCGCTGAAACGATCTTGTCGCAAATTTCTTAAATATCTAGCAATTTTCTGTAGGTATGGATATAAAATTATTAATCGTGCAACAACGTTTAAGTGCATGTCTCTCTTGAACGTTGTGTTTCTACAAATTTCACAATTATATTGTTTATTTCTTAGAATTAAGGGCCGAACTGATTCTCACTCTTTACCTCAAATTTATCTCTCTCAAAAAATTAGAAATCTTTTTATAGTATAATCGAATTTTCCGGCAGCTTTTCGCGGGTGGAAGCAGTTCGCGGCTACACCCCGAAAATCAATCGATGGATTATCACTGAAAACAGCGAATAGTCACCGATTTACAGTTATAAGTATACCACTGCAATTTTCAGTAGTATATCTTATAATTGAAAATCAGTGACTGTTTGCAATAATAATTCACTGATTGACTTTGAAAGAGCACAAAAATAATGTTGCAAATGTGGTACTGCGATGAAACTCATGATTTTTTTTTATTATCTCCTATTATCCAAGACTTCTAACCATGTTTATCGATTGCACGTGAAGCGAATAAAAGAACGTAAGGTGAGCGCTTCGAGCAATACGGTAGGTGGTATTTTAAGATATCTGGGAGCTAGAAGAAAATCGAATGATGTGAGACTCGAACCCGTTCGGGCTGAACGGATAGAAGAATGCTAGAGCGTGTTTTCGCAGACAGTCAAATATGGACGCGGATGGTTGCACGGCAGGTAAACGCACGATGCTGGACGGAGAGTTCCCACGATTCGAGAGGATGCGCTAAGGAAGAATATTATTAGCGGAAATCGCGATACCTTCGGCATCGTCCCCGTCGCGTATAGCTTTCTGTACGCATCTTATTGCAACGAAGTCTATTTGATTTCCCATAACGTACATCTCTTCTTCTGCGCTTAGATTCGATTTTTTAGAATCGAATGATGCTTCGAAACAGTGCTTGCGCTCACTTTTTTTTCTATTGTAGGTTAATCAATACTTTTTTTGACCCATCATATTTCTACATTTTTATCTGATTAAAATCACATTTTCAATAACGGTATTACACATTAATAGCTGCATCCAAATGTAAGAGACTTCCTCGAACAAGACACGATCGAAACGATCGAATTCATATTAAACTCACACGCGCATATATCACAGATGCAGATTAATGTATCGCTCTTTTAACCAACGGCAGAATCCGGTTTCGACACCTTAATGGTTACGTGCCCACATGATAATTCTAACATTCGTAATTAATTCGGCTCTCGTATTTGCGACGCGATCTTCCAAAATGGTTTCCTGCATCACTTCAGCAGGAAGAGCGCTACGATTAAAATAATTTATGCTCCTACGAACGTAAATGTGGGTAGATCGTAACGGATATTATATATTGATAAATATTCACAACGCCTTGGCGCTCACGATTTGTAATCAAGTGCTAAAAGTGTCACTAGAATTGTATTAATAAAAATGAGACAGAAACAAGTACGGAAAACGTTTATGAATGAAATCTGATTCGATAGCGTAAAATGATACAAGTCGAACAAATAAGATTGTTCGAAGTATAAATAAAAAGAAGAATCCTGGAATACAGATAACAGCTTGTTTAAATCCATTTGTTTGAATTTAATATATGGAGCGTAAAATATAAATAGTTTATTTTAAATTTTAATTTTTTAAATTTTGCTGAAAATAAACGTACTGCAGTTTATACAACCTATTCATGTCTACAGCTTTTAGATTTTATGTCTAAAAATTAAACTCTCTCATTCGTTCTAGATTGTCTCTTTTATTAAATCCGCTAAGTTTATCGTCAATTAAACTGAACAAAATGTCCATCCATAGGCAATACGAAACTGCATTATCAGAAAGAAAAGAAAAATGGAAAATCCGATTTTCTCGGTCATTTCCGCTCGATAATTTCTGTTTGTTTCAGTTTATTGGCGAAACAAGCTTGGATTGCAAAATAGTGTTCTACCTTTCAAACATTTGTAATAGTATAGTGGTAGGTTGACATAATCTGTGTATTACAACCAATTGTGTATATTTTTTAATACGAGAAACTATTTATGTCTAACTCTATCTAGAGTGCGAAAATTGATATATAACATACATATATTCTGTTACTGCAAAAAAGATATATGAACTCTTTCCCTCTTTCTCTCTCCCCCTCATGTCTCTTCTAAACTCATGATCCATCTACGCATGCAAATTTCTATATCGTAAATAAATCAATACAAATAATGTACCCAGAGAATGAAAAAGTCTGAGGAAAAACAGAGCGATGTCTTTCAATCTTTAGTGTCCAAATGTATCGATTGGTCCATGTATCAAAATGAAACAAGTCGATTTCAAGCTTTTATCTGCATTGTCGGATCTTTTTTGTTTATACTCTCCTAGAAATTTATTTGTTATTTGCCCGTGCTACTACCGTATATTACGTGTTCGCTCGCACGCATCCTCGGCGCTCACTTGGCAAGAGCCTCAATCCTGTCTGCACGTAAAATACGACCGAGACTGCGAATAAATACAAGCACGGGGAACACCTTTGATACGCGCAGATCCGGCATTCGTAAAGTACACGCAGTGTATACGTATCCACGCAAGGTACACGGTACTTGCTTGGATGCCACTTGGATTCTACCTCGATCGGCGCGATCATGCTCGCGAGATTTCATCTTGTACGTATCCACCTTGCACGTTGTATTTCACGTCGATCGCAGAGAAGCGTAAGGATAATGATAATCCAGATAACACGAACTATCCATCCAGTCGCGAGATAAGTCGCTTCTCTACCCACTTATATACAGGATGTATCTTAAAATGCGAGCTTCGTTGGTGGAATACTTAATACCGCGAGAGAAACGACGAAAAATATTGCTTCAAACGTGCGTTAAAGTTTCAGTTCTTTTGCATACCTTTTACATATAACGTTGAAGAAATAACCATATTAAAATTAATGCGTCGACTGAATCGCTGCCAGTTTAAACTACTAATCTACTAATCCATAATTAAATTTGACTTTAATGTCGTTTAATAGCCAAGGTAAAAATAAAAATAAAAATTCGATAGAAACTGTTTGACAACTTCTATCATATTTTTCGATTACCCATAACTTATTCCGTAAGGAATACCCACGCCTCGAGATATCTATATATACGCCAGTAATCCTTGAACTCAATTTTTACATTTTCGTGGGAGTATGTACGTCCATAAAAATATCATCAGTGCTGTGTGTGTGTGTGTATAAACAGCATTACTTTTACGATTTAATAGATATTAAGAAATTTCGATGTAACGACATAGCTATATCATAATTTCAGGGGAGTATAAAATTAGGGGAAAAAGTAGTAAAAAAATAGTAAAGTGGGAAAACAGAACGGAGTTTTCGTGTTTAACAACGTTCAAATAATTCTTTAATTTATCCAGGAAAGGTGGTGTATTATATTTAACCCGACCGTGCATATCGTATCCTCATAAGCGACGTAGTACGGGTTATTATGCATCACTAATTAGCGTCAAGTATAAGCGGGCGCGACAAGTCGAGAGGCGGCTGGAAAGATATATATCAGGAAACAACGTCACGTTTGGTCCAGACTCGATCGTGAAGCTCTGATCCCGCGTTAATTACTACTAATTGATAGCCACCTCGTTTCTAG